GCTGCTGTATGAGAGTAAATTGATAAATGTTATGAAATTCGCTGCTGTATGAGTGTAAATAGATAAATGTTATGAAATTCGCTGCTGTTTGAGTGTAAATTGATAAATGTTATGAAATTCGCTGCTGTTTGAGTGTAAATTGATAAATGTTATGCGATTCACTGATGTATGTGTTTATTGATAAATGTAATGAAATTCGTATGAGAGTAAATTGATAAATGTTATGAAATTCGCTGCTGTATGAGTGTAAATAAATAAATGTTATAAAATTCGCTGCTGTATGAGGGTAAATTAATAAATGTTATAAAATTCGCTGCTGTATGAGTGTAAGTTGATAAATGTTATGAAATTCACTACTGTATGTGTGTAAATTGATAAATTTTATAAAATTCGCAGCTGTATTTGTGTAAATTGATAAATGTTATGAAATTCGCTGCTGTATGAGTGTAAATTGATAAATGTTATAAAGTTCGCTGCTGTATGAGTGTAAATAAATAAATGTTATAAAATTCGCTGCTGTATGAATGTAAATTGATAAATGTTATAAAATTCGCTGCTGTTTGAGTGTAAATTGATAAATGTTATGAAATTCGCTGCTGCTTAAGTGTAAATTGATAAATGTTATGAAATTCGCTGCTGTTTGAGTGTAAATTGATAAATGTTATGAAATTCGCTGCTGTATGAGTGTAAATTGATACATGTTATGAAATTCGCTGCTGTATGAGTGTAAATTGATAAATGTTATGAAATTCGCTGCTGTTTGGGTGTAAATTGATAAATGTTATGAAATTCGCTGCTGTTTGAGTGTAAATTGATAAATGTTATGCGATTCGCTGATGTATGCGTTTATTGATAAATGTAATGAAATTCGTATGAGAGTAAATTGATAAATGTTATGAAATTCGCTGCTGTATGAGTGTAAATTGATAAATGTTATAAAATTCGCTGCTGTATGAGTGTAAGTTGATAAATGTTATGAAATTCGCTGCTGTATGAGTGTAAATAAATAAATGTTATAAAATTCGCTGCTGTATGAATGTAAATTGATAAATGTTATAAAATTCGCTGCTGTATGTGTGTAAATTGATAAATTTTATAAAATTCGCAGCTGTATTTGTGTAAATTGATAAATTTTATGAAATTCGCTGCTGTATGAGTGTAAATAAATAAATGTTATAAAATTCGCTGCTGTATGAATGTAAATTGATAAATGTTATAAAATTCGCTGCTGTATGTGTGTAAATTGATAAATTTTATAAAATTCGCAGCTGTATTTGTGTAAATTGATAAATGTTATAAAATTCGCTGCTGTATGAATGTAAATTGATAAATGTTATAAAATTCGCTGCTGTATGAGTGTAAATTGATAAATTTTATAAAATTCGCAGCTGTATATTAAATTGATAAATGTTTTGAAATTCGTTGCTGTATTGGTGTTAATTGATAACTGTTTATGAAATTTGAGGCTATATGAGTGTTAATTGATAAATAATAATATGACATTCGCTGCTTTCTGAGTGTATGTCTTTTTAGACTTTTCGATAACTGCTTGTTTTCTTACAGAAATGATAGTGCGTCTACCAAGAAAAGCATTCAAGATAACAAGATATCAATGAGTAGGTAACACATTTCGTAATAACAACATTTTAAGCAATGTACAAAATACTAAAACAAGATGAAAATCTGCATTACTCGTAGACAAAAAAAAAGTTGTATCTCAAACTTGGCCAAAAAGAATATATTCTACTCATCAATGGACTTGCTTGGTGTCGTAAATACACCATAAATATACATTCTTACTGTATGTCATATCTTGTTGTATCATCTGTCATTTCTGGTTGTTATATCACTCATTTCTAGTTGTATCATCTGTCATTTCTAGTTGTATCATCTGTCATTTCTGGTTGTTATATCAGTCATTTCTAGTTGTATCATCTGTCATTTCTGTTTTGATATACCAGTCATTTCTAGTTGTATCATCTGTCATTTCTGTTTGTTATACCAGTCATTTCTAGTTATATAATCTGTTATTTCTGTTTGTTATACCAGTCATTTCTAGTTATATAATCTGTTATTTCTATTTGTTATACCGGTCATTTCTAGTTGTGTCATCTGTTATTCTGATTGTTATACCGGTCATTTCTAGTTGTATCATCTGTTATTTCTGTTCGTTATACCAGTCATTTCTAGTTGTATCATCGGTTATTTCTGTTTGTTATACAAGTCATTTCTAGTTGTATTATCTGTTATTTCAATTTGTTATACTATATATTTCTAGCTTGCCCTCATTTTAATTTTCAGTGGAAATTATTGAAAATGATTTATATCTTGGCAGTGATAATTATTTTGTTCAAGAAAACTCACTGCCAAAAGGTAAGCTTTGAAGTTCAGCATTTTTATTATTCCAATCATTTTGTTGTTGTAAATCTCATATTTAAAATGGTTTATTGAAATAGGCCTATACACAATATTTTTTCAACATTTATATCATAAGAATGATAATAATAACAACAAATTCCCATTGTTATATAGTGCTAAATACATAAATTGTAGAGCGATAAATTTTTTTTTAAAAATAACCTAAAAAACATGTTGTTACTCAGTTTCACACTATGCTTTTTATATTACTATATCGCTCTACAATTATTGATGTATTGAGCACTATTTTAACAGTGGTATTACTATATCACTCTACAAATATTGATGCATTGAGCACTATTTTAACAGTGGTATTACTATATCACTCTACAATTATTGATGTATTGAGCACTATTTTAACAGTGGTATTACTATATCACTCTACAATTATTGATGTATTGAGCACTATTTTAACAGTGGTATTACTATATGGCTATACAATTATTGATGTATTGAGCACTATTTTAACAGTGGTATTACTATATCACTCTACAATTATTGATGTATTGAGCACTATTTTAACAGTGGTATTACTATATTGCTCTACAATTGATGTATTGAGCACTATTTTAACAGTGGTATTACTGTATTGCTCTACAATTGGTGTATTGAGCACTATTTTAATAGTGGTATTACTATATCACTCTACAATTGATGTATTGAGCACTATTTTAACAGTGGTATTACTATATTACTCTACAATTGATAAATGAGCACTATATCGCTCTACAATTACTGATGTATTGAGCACTATTTTATCAGTGGTATTTCTATATCGCTCTACATACAATTGATGTATTGAGCACTATCATAACAGTGTTATTACTATATCCCTCTACAATTGATGCATTGAGCACTATTTTAACAGTGGTATTTCTATATCACTCTACAATTGATGTATTGAGCACTATTTTAACAGTGGTATTTCTATATCACTCTACAATTGATGTATTGAGCACTATTTTAACAGTGGTATTTCTATATCGCTCTACAATTACTGATGTATTGAGCACTATTTTATCAGTGGTATTTCTATATCGCTCTACATACAATTGATGTATTGAGCACTATCTTAACAGTGGTATTACTATATCACTCTACAATTGATGCATTGAGCACTATTTTAACAGTGGTATTTCTATATCACTCTACAATTGATGTATTGAGCACTATTTTAACAGTGGTATTTCTATATCACTCTACAATTGATGTATTGAGCACTATTTTAACAGTGGTATTTCTATATCACTCTACAATTATTGATGTATTGAGCACTATTTTAACAGTGGTATTACTATATCGCTCTACAATTATTGATGTAATGAGCACTATTTTAACAGTGGTATTTCTATATCACTCTACAATTGATGTATTGAGCACTATTTTAACAGTGGTATTTCTATATCGCTCTACAATTGATGTATTGAGCACTATTTTAACAGTGGTAGTACTATATCACTCTACAATTATTGATGTATTGAACTCTATTTTAAAAGTGGTATTACTATATCGCTTTACAATTATTGATGTATTGAGCACTATTTTAAAAGTGGTATTGCTATATCGCTCTACAATTATTGTTGTATTGAGCATTATTTTAATAGTGGTATTACTATACTGCTCTACAATTGATGTATTGAGCACTATTTTAACAGTGGTATTACTATATCGCTCTACAATTATTGTTGTATTGAGCATTATTTTAATAGTGGTATTACTATACTGCTCTACAATTGATGTATTGAGCACTATTTTAACAGTGGTATTACTATATTACTCTACAATTGATAAATGAGCACTATTTTAGCAGTGGTATTTCTATATTGCTCTACAATTATTGATGTATTGAACTCTATTTTAACAGTGGTATTACTACATCACTCTAGAGTTGATGTATTGAGCACTATTTTAACAGTCAGAATTTTAA